CCACGTAGCACACGTCAGTGCTTCATTCCTTTTTGTGGCCAAGAGGTGGGCATCACCGCCCCATTTTTTGGAGAGGACTGAGGCTCAGCCGTCCAGGTCAGTCAGCTGGAGGTGGCAGGTCTGGATTTGCCCTCGGGTCTGTGTGACCCTAAAAACCATTCTCTCAGCTCCTCTGTTGTGCCGACTCTGGAGCGCCCTGTCTTCTATGGGACAGGGGCCAGGAGGCACCCTCCTCTAGAAGCCCCCATAAGGAAGTCTGAGCTACCAAAGGGTGGAGTGCCAGGCTGGTCACACAGCAGGGAGACTGGCTGAGTTAGAGGGGGTCCTGGAGCCCTCTTCCCAGGAGGGCATGTGGGGAGGGGGCAGGTGGGGGGTAAGTGAGTCACCCGGCCTCTCCCCACAGCATCCTGGTTTACAGCAGCGTGGACACAGGCACCCAGTGCCTGGCGACCTGCAGGAGCCCAGGCCTGCAGCCCGTGCTCTGCCTGCGACACAGCCCCTTCCACCTGCTTGCTGGCCTGCAGGACGGGACCCTTGCTGCCTACCCTCGGACCAGTGGTAAGGATGGGGGCCTGGAGGGGCGGGGCAGCCCTGGGCTCTGGCTGAGAGCCAGATCCTGCACCAGAGCAGCTGTGGGAGGCTGGCCATGGAGGCAGCTCAGAAAAGAATCAGGGAATCGAAGTGCCGGGGAGATTGGAGATCCCTGACCCTCCCTGGGATCCCTGCAGGAGCCGGGTGGAGACTGGTGGAGACGAGCAGGGCCCCTGGGCTCAGATAGACCTGGCTTCACATCCAGGCTCTGTCCTGACAACAGCTGTGACTGAGTGAGCAGCTTCTCCTCTTTGTGCCTCGGTCTCCTCATCTGTAAAATGGGAATATTGGTAACACCCATTCCTCATGGGTACTTGTGGGTTGAACAATTCAGTGAAGGCAAAGCAGAGGTCCTGGCGCAGTGAGCACCCGGTGGCATTAGGCATTTTGATCTCCATTATTTTACTGAGCACAGATGGCGACATCCGGAGGGAGAGAATGACCGCGTTCCCGCTGCTGTGCACCAGGACAGGGCGCGGTGCTGAACGCGGGCGCATTGCCCTCATTCTCACCGCGACCCTTGAAAATTGCCTCCTCTTTACTAATGCTGAGTCCGGGGCTAAGGGGGCGGGGGACACGGAGTGCTGTGGTCCCCATCCCCTTGCGGCTGGTTCAGCTCCCTGTTTGATGAGCGGAGCTGGGCAGAGCCAAGAGCTGCCCCCCGCGTCCCCAGAGGGGCTGATGTGCCGGCGGCTCCGCCTCCCGCGGCCGCGCGCCTGATTGCTGCGTCATCACAGCCTGTTGCGGGTTATAAACGGATATTTGTACTGAGTTTTTTTTTTTTTGCCACTTGGCACTCTGTTGGTATTTTAAATTAGCTTTTGATAAGGCATTTATAGTTTTTAATTAAAGCGGGAAGAGGGAGGGAAAATAAGTCCCTCCCGCCGTCAGACGGAGCGTGCGTGTGAATGTCAATGCGGGCTCAGATCTTCAGAGATTTCGACCAGGGCTGCTAAAGGGACTTCCCCGCTCCCGCTCCCACGGGAGCCCGGGAGCCCCGCCCCGCCCGCTCTGGTCCCCAGTTTGGCTGCCTCTGGCCCTTCCTCTCTTGGTTACTGATTCATCAGTTCGGGTGCCCGGGTTGGGAGGAGGTGAGCAGGTGGACCGGTTTGCGGGGGCTGCCAAGACCAAGCACCATGAACCCAGTGGTTTAAACAGTGTCAGTCATTAATCGTCTCACCTTCGGGAGGCTACACGTCCGAGGTCAGGTGTCAGCAGGCCTGTGCTCCCTGGGGCGCTGGGGAGGGATCTGTTCCCAGCCACTCTCCCAACTTTGGTCAGTTCCTTGGCTTGTGGGACCATGACTCCTGTCCTCACATGCTGTTCTCTTTGGGTGATCCTGGGTCAAACATCCTTTTGGAATAAGAATCCCAGGCATGTTGGATTAGAGGCCCACCCTCCTCCAGGGTGACCTCATCTTAACCAGTTACATCTGCAACAGTCCTATTGCCAAACCAGGTCACATTCCGAGGTACTAGGGGTTCAGACTTCAACATATGAATTTTGGGGGACACCATTCAACCCTTAGGGGGTGGGGTTGTCTAACCACTGGCTTTCAGCCTGAGGTTGGCGCCTGGTAGTTTGTCAGAACTGAAAGAGCCACTGGGGACCACTGGACCTCACACCCACGTTTTCTGTGTGGGAAGGGACTCCCCAGGGTCCCATGGGTGAGGTGAGACCTGAACCCAAGTGTCCTCCCTCCAGGGCTAGAGTCCTCTCCAGATTTAAGCGGGCCTCTCCGAGCAGAGCTGGGTACCGTCTGGCCTGGAAGAGGAGGTTGAGATGTTCTAGCAGCTTCCTTGCCTTGTAAACATTTGTCCACCAAATATTTACTGAGCACCTACTATGTACCATGGATACAGTGGCCAGTAAAGCAGATGTGAGCCTGCCCTCACAGTTTACAGAGGGAGACATGTTAAGTTTATAGATAAGTCAAATGAACAGGCAGCATGCTTACGATTATACATCATGCTGAGGGTGCTACGGGGAGGAGCAGGGTGTTGGGTGAGAGCCTGACCCCCTGAGCAAAGGCCTTTCTAGGGAGCAGGATCCTGAAGCTGAGACCTGAAGAAGAAGTGGCCAGGCAAATGAAGAGTTGTGGGAACAGTGTTCTTGCAGAGGGAACAGCATACGCAAAGGCCTGGAGGCAGGTGGTTGGTCTGGTGGGGGAGGTCATCTTGCTGGATAGTAGCCAGCGGGGTAGACAGTGCCAGGCAAGGTCTGGGAGCAGATGGGCTTAATCAAGTGGGCCTTGGGTTTGTCTCAGTTGATGGGAGGTAGAGGGAAGTGTTGGAAATGGCTAAGCATTGTGCCCCTCTGGCTGGTGGACAAGAGCAGAGGCTAGAGGCAGGGAGGCTGTCTGGGAGGAACATGTACATGTCCACCTAGAGCCACTGGAGGGCAGGGAGCAGGGTGGAGGGATGGACCCCCCAGCAGGCTTGGGGTGGGGAGGGGCTGTCCCTGCTGAGAGCTCACACTGATTGTGTTTAAAATCTTAGAATTGTGGCCTGTGGGGACTGAGAAGAACCTTAGAGGTCAGCGTTCTGTCCCCTTGGGATGCAGATAGGCAAACAGTCCCAGCAAAGGGAAGGCTCTTGTACAGGGTCCCACCCTGGGCCCTCAAATCAGGGAATCCTGCCCTGTGTACTTTTTCATATAACAACATTGGTATTATTAAATTTTATCAGTTAGTCACTGTCCTGGAGTCGGGACTCTTAGAGGATTACTGGAGGCGCCCAGCAAGCACAGGAGTGGTTGATGCGCACGAGACCCTCAAAGGTATCAGACCCTAGCCCCTACCCCAGGCAGCTGTGCTATTCCAGGAAGTACAGAGTAGTACAAGGGCTCTGGTGGCCATCACTGCTAGGCCTGTGGGGCAGAGCTGGCATTTCCCAGTTTTCGGGATGTGGTTTCAGCATCCCTGACTGCTTCCTCTCTGGCAGCTCCCACCTTAGCCGTAGTGGCAGGAGCCCCAGCTTCTGGCCACAAGCACTACTCACCACTGGCCACTGGGGGGCGCTCAAAGCCTTGCATTTTTGTGGCTCTGGTTTCCTGGTGGAAGTCAGGGTCCCCTGTGGAGGCCTGGCCTCCTTGTGGTCACTCTTCCCTCCTGGATGCCAGTCCTGACCCCAGGGATTTTGGAACCTCTTGGAACCTGAGAGGGTGGCAGGGATTGGGGAATGAGGCCAGGACCTGGGTCAGTGGAGTTCCAACCCTGCTTGGCCCACTCCGCTTGGGTGGCTTTGTGCAAGTTCTTGGCTCCCTGGGTCTCTGCTGTCCCATTTGTCAAGTGGAATCAACACCCTTCCATGGGCTGTCGTGTCGTGGCAAATAACAGCAAGCAGCCGGAGCTAACGAGCAGCAGGTCCTGTCTAGCTGCGTGGTTTGGACCAGTTTCTTAAACTCTGTGTCTCAGTTTTCTCAGTTGTAAAACAAGGATAAGAATAGAACCTTCCACACAGGCTGGTGGGAGTTTAGGAAATAATTCATGGAAAGAATGCCTGGCACGCCGGTGCATAACAGGATGCGACAACAGCTGTCAGCGCTCCTGCCTGGGGGCCGACCTTGTGCTAAATGTTCTACACAGTTCATGTGATCTCTGCAGCATCCGGCGAGGTGTAGGCACGGTTATGACGCCCACTTTACAGATGAAGAAACTGAGGTTCAGAGGCGACATCACCCATCCGAATCCATGCAGAAGTCGAGAGGCTGCAGCCGGGATTCTGGCTCAGCCTGCTTCCCACATGCTTATGTTCATGGGCTAGAACTAACTGGATGGGTGTCGATTGGTGGGGAGGTTCCTGTTCCCCAACTCTGAGCTGAGCTGGGAGTCTGCCAATTTTAAGTAGGACTCAAGGCGAGAGGAGAGCCTGTTTTACAGGAGGGGAGGGTGGGGTGGTAGAGGGGAATCTGGCCCCTCCCCTGTGGGCTCCTCCCCATACACGCCTCCAGCTCTGCCAACAGCTGTTCTCCATCTTGCTAGCCAGCGGCTGGCTCAGGGGGAGGAGGGCCTGTGCTGGGGTAGTTTTGCATCCCTTCCAGGGACCCCATGGAGCGGGGATGAGGGTGGCTCGGCCCTGGCAAGCTGGTAGCAGGCTCCGTCCTGCCCCCCAGACCCAGCCTCCCCATCTCTCTGGGTTGTCCCCCACTTTCTGCTCAACTCTTCTTTCCTGCCTGGCACCCTGGCAAGACAGGACAGCCACTGGGGTTCTGTGTGGCATCTGGTGTGAATTCAGAGAAAAACCAGCCCCAGTGAACATGGCTTGCGTGCCAGGAAAAATTCTCGACGTGTCCTTGGGTGAGCCGAGCATCCCTGAGGCGGGCAGGGTAGAGCCTCGTTCAGTGCCAGGCCAGGTCCCTTCATCTGTCCGTCTTCAGGGATAACGGACTGGAGACTGACGGCCTCTCAGTACTTCCTCCTTCCACACCTAGGGGTGGTGGCGTCTCTGGAGAGGGAAGATCATCAGAGATCTTGGTAGAGGCGACAGAGTGCCTGGGAGTAGGTGAGAAGATCTGTGGGAAGGCAAGACTCAATCTCAACAAGTTACAGTGTCAGAAGCGTCCTCAGAGACACTCTTGTTGGCGCCACCTTCCCCATTTTACAGATGGGGAGACTGAGGCCTTGAGAAGGGGAGAGATGCATTTAAGGTCCTAGGTGAGCTGCTGGCAGAATCAGGGTCAGGACACTCTCTGCTATGTCTCTCTGCCTTTTTGGCAGGGCTGTGTGGATGTTCCCTCTTCTGGGAAGCCTCCCTGGGTTTCCCATGTGCAGAGTTGGTTCTTTCATCTCAGCAGCTCTCAAGAGCCCCTGGGTGTGCCTGGCCATTTGTGCTTGGCACCCTGTCTGGTAACTTCTGATTCATCCGCTGGTTTCTCCAGCCAGCGGGGGTTTCCTGGAGGGCAGGGTCTGTGTCTGATTCGTTTCTGTCACCCCAGCACCCAGCATACAGCCTGGCATGGAGTAGGTGCTTACTAAGTGTGTGTGGAGTGAACAGGAGAGAGGGAAAGGCAGGGAGGGAGGGAGAACTGGGGAGTACAGCCCCTAAAGGGGGTGGAATGTAAACTGAGCTGGATGGGAAGAGCTGCCCTCCCGCTGTGGGGAGGAGGAAGGGCAGAGAGAGGGGCCAGCAGGTGCTGTGGGCCATGGGTCCCTACTGTTGAGGACTCCTGGGGCCCTGACCTGTTGGCCGCTCCCCATCCCTGCTCCTGACCTGCTTTCTTCCTCTCCCTCCAGGAGGTGTCCCCTGGGACCTGGAGAGCCCGCCCGTGTGCCTGACTGTGGGGCCTGGGCCTGTCCGTACCCTGCTGAGCCTGGAGGACGCCGTGTGGGCCAGCTGTGGGCCCCGGGTCACCGTCCTGGATGCCACCAGCTTGCAGACTCAGGTACCGGCCCTGCTTCGTGTCTCGTGGCCCCAGGCCTTGGGGGTCATCTCTGGGCACAGCCTTGCTGACCCTTCTTACCTTCTACCTGGCACTGCTGTTGGCTCCCAGCTGCATCTCAGGGATCATCAGACTTTGCCGGGAAGCACAGGGGGCCAGGATCCCTGCTGGGCCCTGTTCTCTGCCCGGACGGGTACCCCTGGGCTGCCGTAAGGGGAAGGGTCCCAACTGGACTGTGCCATGAGCCCGATCCTCAGTTGTATCTGCTGCTGCCCTTGGAGGTGAAGCTGGGGTCCCCGCGCTCGTACTGGTACCCAGGACCCAGCTGTGCCGAGGGGACAGCCACAGTGTGGACGCAGCCATCTCGGACACTGGGCTCTTTAAACACGTGGATGTGGAGGCTGCTGAGTCCTGCCCTGTCCGTCACTGGCGCCGCCCAAATCTTGGCCCCTGGGACGAGAGCCTGGTTTGGGGGCTCTTTTCTGGCATAGCCAGGGCCGCGACGGTCACTGACTGACAGCCTTGCCACAGCCAGGGTCCATCCCAGCGTGTCTCCTTGAGCGGTGTTTTGGCGATGTTTGCCGTCATTTGATTGCTTGGATTATCAACTCGAAATGAGCTGCCCCCAGGCCCGGAGGGGAGCTGTGGGGACGGGCTCATGGGCAGAACAGATTGACTCCCAGTGGGCCTCCACGCCAGGGCCATCTTGCCTGCGTGGCCATCTCTTGTATGGCCATAGATCGGCCACTTGACAGCCAGGCGAGAACACAAAGTCGGGGCCCGAGATCGTAAGGTCACGGGCAGTTAGGGCTGGGTCCCGGATAATACAGTCCTAGTTTGGCAGAAGGGGACCCTCAGGCCCAGGGAGCTGTGGGTGAGCCTGGGTTCCCGGAACTGAGCCTCTGGTCCTGGGCTTACTTTCCCATTTTTGATGAAGCACCAGGCGCAGCCTTCGGAGCTGTGCACGCATGGATCTGCCTCCGGTTCTGCCTCTTACCTTCTGGGGCCTGGAGGGGCATCTGTGAGCACTGGTTTTCTCATCTGTAAAAGGGGCATAAGCATCCGTTCCTGGGGTCCTTTTGCCCACTGAGTGAGGTAAGGCTTGCAGTCATGGTCCTGGTAGCCCAGAGATGTTTGACTAGTGGCTCTTCTGGGTGCTGGAGGGGGGAGGGGGGAGTGCTTCACCCGCACCTTAGCCAGCAGTGAGGGGTGGCGCCGTGGGGGCGCCAGGTGACTCCTGGGCTGCCTCGCTTCAGGGGAAGCTTGAACACCCCCTCCCCCCATGCACTGCCCATGACACTGAGGACTTCTGAGCTCACTGGTGCTGCCGGGCCCAGCCAGGTGGGGTGGGCTCAGGGAGGGGCCGGGAAGGCGCCAGCAGGAAGCACCCTGCTGCGCCCCGTCTCCAGCTTCTGGATTTCTTGCTCCTCTTTCTCCTGAGTGGAGCCGGGGTGGGGAGGGAGATCCCCGAGCAGCAACAGCCACAGAGTCCCCTGTTAGTCCCTGGATGTCTTTGAGGGGCTTCCTTGCTCCCCCCAACCTTGCCCCGTCACGTCCCTCCAAAGGCCTCTCACCTCCTTGACCTTCCGAGAGGACAGTGAGCAGGGGGAGCTGGCTCCCCAGGGCTTTAGGGGTCCCCGACTGGCCTGGGTCTCAAGACATCTGTCAGGAAGAAGAGTGAGGCCCCCCTGCAGCCCCTTCCCAAGCGTCCCTGACTGTCCCCATGCCAGGCCCAGCGCCTTCCCAGCTTTCTCCTGCTGGTGTCCTGCACAGGCTCTTACGCAGCCCAGGAGGAGAGCCATGCTGAAGGGGTGCTCAGCCAGCAGCCGAGCCTTGGGGCTCCACTTAGGGCAGTGGTGGGAGGGAGGGGGTCCCAGCCATGCCCATGGGGTACTCAGTCTGATGGGGGAGACACAGCCCTGCCCTTGGGGGGCCTTCAGTCTGATGGGGGAGACACAGCCTGCCCTCTGTTCTCTATATGGGGAGAGTGAGCCCAGAAACGTGAAGCCAAGAGCAGAGTGAGGATGAGATGGGAAGAGGCAGGCTTTCAGAGCTCCGTCTTGGCCAAAGGACACTGTTGGCACTGTCATCAGGGGAAATGAAACATGAGAGAAGGAAGGCAGCCGAGGTAAGTGGGAGGCAGGATGTGAACTAAGAGGTGTTTTCAAGGAAGAGTCTTCTAAGGAAGAGTCTAGAGGCTGCAGGACCCTGAAATCACAGACCCGTGGGAGCAGAGAAGTGACTGATATTGGGGGAGGAGCTGTGGACAGCAGGGCCTGAGGAGCTGGTGAAAGCTCAGCTCCCAGGGTGCCCCTCCTAGAACCACAAGACTTTCAGGATGGGGAGGGATGGGGAGGCATCATCAAAGGCAGAGGCCTGTTCCTGTCCCGGCCATGCCCACCTCGGGTCTGCTAGGCACCCGGCTCCCTTGCCAGCAGCCTGCTTCAGATGGGACCACAGCTCTGTCTCTGCCAAGCTATGCACCCTTGGACAAGGCACCGAGCCTTCCTGGGCCTCAGTCACTTCATCTGTAAAATGGGACGACAGTGGGCAGACTGGGTGGGAACGTTTATGTGAAAGGGCTGTTTCACCCGGTGCCTGGGACATAGTAAGTGTTGGATGAGCCTTGGTTATTGTTGTAATTATTTGCCTAACCTAAATCCTTTTTGCCGTATATGTGATTTGTTTGAAAAATCAAGCTGCTCCCTTAGAGTCGGTGGTGTTGGGTGTGGGGCGTGTGTCCGCATTGCGGGTCTGCCATCCCCTCACTTCATTGGCTGGAGGGCTTCCTTCTGCCGACCACCATCCTATGAGCTTGAGATGGACGGACAAAGGAAATAACGATGTCCAGGCAGGACCCTGCCTAGCCCTTACCCGATTTCACCCCTCGCCAGCTGCAGTGCAGTCCTGCCCGGGCCCGACCATCCCTTGGGCTGAGTGGCCCCGAGACTCCAGCGCGAGGCTGCAATGATTTAAGATTAGTTCTCGACCAGCTGCTCTTAAGAAGGGAATCAATATGGCCTCTCCCCTGCTTTGCGCACGGAGGGCGTCCGGAGGGCGCTGGGCGGGGGGAGCCAGGATGGAGGAAGGAGTGACGGAGGAGGCTCAGCAGTGGGACCAGAGGGAGCCTGCGCCCTGTCCGCAGCCCAGCGGGGAAATTGAAAAGTTTGTGTGTGGTGCGGTGCGGGCAGCTCGCCTTCAGTACACACAATCCCTCGCACAGTAACGAGGCGATCGCCATGCATATTTAATCAAGCCTCTCTACGTTGCTGCTCGGAAAAGAGGAAGCCAGCCCACCTCCGCACAGGGCTCTGGAAACGACTCTGGCTGGCTGCTGCTAATGACCAGCGACCCGGCAGGCTGCACTCTTCGCTAGGCGCCCACCGCACAGCCAGTGGGCTGGGCTGCTGTCCGGCTGCTGTGGTCCTGAAGGGGCACCAGCGCTCAGTGCCTGCAGCAGCGTGCCTCAGCTCAGAGGAGGTGCATCGCTTAGTAGCTGCGATGTGGCGGACTCTCCCCCAGGGCTGAGAAACCCCCCATGGGGACTGGAGATCTCAGAGCTGCCCTGTGCTCACACCAGGGGGCCCGGGGGGATCCTGTCAGCGGAGGGTGTGGTTGTGTGGCTCTGGCCCAAAAGTGAAGACATTCCTGGATGGGGTTCATCCAGCGATTGTGTTAACGCTAAGGAGCGTTCCCTGGTTGTTCCCACCCCCAGGAAGTAATGATAACCAACATATATTGAGTGCTTAGTGTGGATCAGGCATCGGGTTAAGTGCTTTACAGGTATTGGCTCATTTAATCCTCAAAGCACCCTGTGAGATGAGCACTATTATTATTCCCACTTTACAGATGAGGCCATAGAGTCCCAGAGAGGTTAAGTGACTTACCCAAAATCACACTGCCAGGAGGCAGAGTTGGGATCTGAGCTCAGGCATCTGACTCCTGAGTCTGCTCTGAACCCCCGTGCCGGCTGTCTGGGTAGCCAGAGCCTCAGTCTCCCCTGACTGCCCTGTCTCCCTGCAGTTCCAGTCCTGTCGTATGCGACTCATAGGCAGTCTTATTGTTTAAGTGCCTCCTCTTCCCACCAACACGTCTTCCAGGCCAAGGATCACACCCTGTTCATCTTCGCTTCCCTGTGTGTCTCTCGCTCACGTAGCTCACATAGCAGGTGCTCTGAGTAAATAGTCGCAGTGAACGGATGGTGTCCTGATCTGCAGGCCTTTTGCACAGGGGGCTGCAGGAGTGGACGTGAGTGAGATCTGGTCTCAGCAATTCAGGAGCTCAGAGTCCAGTATGGGGAGCAGGCCCAGGACAGTCAATAGGAAGGGCCCCAGTGGGAAGAGACCTGTGGGGACAGGCCCAGTCCTGGTGGGAACCCAGGGGAGGCACGAGGTGTGCCAGACCTGGTGGGAGGGGGGAAGGGAGCAGGGGAGGTTCTTGCTTGGGACCCCTGAGTGGGTCGGGGAGATGTCGAGGGGGCAGAGGAGGCAGGGAGGATGCTCTGGGCCCAGGTCGAGTCACCCCTGTGCTGTGTGGAGTGGGCGTGGGCAGCTCCCGAGGAGGGGCCTCTGAGCTGCGTCTCCATTAGGTCCGCTTGGCCTCTGCCAGCCGCCCCGGACCTTGCTGAACCCGTCCCCACGGAGCCGGTGCCGCAGCCTGTCTCTGGGCTTGATGCTCGCCCACCGACTGCTTGTTCAGTTCCTTGATCCCAGTGGAGGCAGTGGCAAGGCCTGTTAAATAATAATGTAGCTCACCAGGGCCTGTGTCAACACTGCATCCTCCGTGTTCATTATCTACATCGCCACCTTCAAAGTCTAATCCAGTCGTCTGGAGTTCATTTTAACTGATCGCTGGAGGGGAAGCCGGCTGTGGGATGACTGTTGCATCTTGATTAAAAAAAAAAAAAACAACAAAAAACCGGAGGCCTGTGGGGTGCACTGTGCCAAGTTGGTGTGGTTGGGGGACTGGGGCAAAGCTGCTCCTCGACACGGCATGGGCTGGGG